GTATTCTTTATCAAAAAATAATATTATTTTATTTGGAAAAATACACCGCCAATGAGGATTTGCACATACAAAATGTCGATATAATAAACGTATAAAGTCTACAATTTATCGACAATCGTTTTTAAAATATACGAGAAAATTGCATTTAGACGCATAAAAGAATATAAATGAAAAACAATAGATAACCAGCCACACCTCAATACTGTTTGCGCATAATATTTCAAAATTTTGCAAAAATATTGGAATCAATGTTTTCAATGTTTAGTGTGTTGTGTTGAAAACTTTTACAAAACAGGATACACTTGGACCAACCTATATATTTAGCAACTTTTGAAGGACGTTTTTCTGAAAAAGACAAAAGATTTAATCGTTTTAAGGGTCAGATTTGTGTTTGACCTAAAGTAGCAAACAAGTCGAATTCAATTGCGGCGGATGGGGTATGAATTATGTGAGTCCCGGTGCAGGTAGGGTAAACCGACGCATTTTGCATAATACTAGCGCTTTGTATAACTACAAGCCGCGATAAATTATTACTTCCTCGAAACTTTTCAGATCTCAAATTAAACACTTTGCATCCAAAAAGGAAAATTTAAATCAAAATCCCTCAGCTCCGAACTCATATGCATACCATTGATCTTACTTTATGGTTAAACGAACACCGAGATTGCCACACTTCTATCGCCCACTTTTCCTATTGCTGAATCTAAATGCAAATTTCATTCGATACCGATGTATCTGTGAATATATAATTACTTATATCGAGCACCAACGGACGTTTGGGTTTACTTTAATTAATAAACACGTTCGTTTTATTGTCGTAAATGCACAGATTCAATTTTAGCAACCCGGATAAACGAAATGTCACTAATTATTATTGTTAATGTCGGACTGCGCCGCCATAATCATTTGTAACGCCAATTTGTATCAAAAGTTTAATTAATCAAAATTTCAAATAAAGCGCCTTTTCAAATATATCTAATTAAATTTACTGGCTGATACGTGACATTATTCGGTGATTTACTCATACATTATTATTATTATTATCAGCACCAATACAAGCACAAAATTATTACTCCACACTTAATGGCTACAATTACTCACACTATCAACTTTTTAATGACTTAATCAGTGCATTTTGAGTAATACAAAACTTTATTTCATTGACTTTGTTGATATTTAAACAAGCATTAAAATGTGACTGTACCCCGATGATTATTGATCAGTTCGTCTGCCTAAAATTTCAGTCAGCGTTCGCCCCGGATGAGCGATAAAAAATTCAAGTGAGTTATTGATGTTCGTTGCGCCTCCTGTAGTAGGTGTTTCTAACATCATTTCCTGATGAACACTTCGAACTGGCCGTGAAAAGGCAGGCGTTTCGGCGATTTGGCTGTTGTTATTTAGGTGCTAAATCACTCCAATTCCTTCCCTTCGTCTCTGCTTTTTATCTCGGACTTGCGTTAATATAAGAGGGGGTGACACGATCATGTGAAATGTTTCAGCATATCGGCGAAACGGCGGAAAGAAAGTTTATCTCTCCCCAAAAGTACTCGTATAAATGCAAATGTCTACAGCGTCCTCAAATCACAACACCTTGTATCGGTTCATTTAAATATTTCATCTTCATCTTATACGACCGCTTGCAAACTCTCAACTAATATAACTTTTCGAACAACTCACATTTCTAGTGTTTGCCAGGAACTATAAAACATAAACTCGGAGTAGTTGGTACATACAAGCGAGGCGGCAAAAAATCCCAATTCGGATGTTTTGAATTGGGTCGAGGGAATAAATCGAATCGCGATTTTTTTCATCAACAGTTGAACACACAGCTTGTTTGCTTCATTGAAACGTTGATAATTAAAAAAGGACAAATTGAGATGACATTTAACATTTGCACGTGAACAAGTAAACAAAACTACAAATGCACCGACGGGCTTTAAAATGGTACGGATTGTTAACATTTGATGACAAATAGTTGGGCTTAATTGCTCTCGACGCACTCTCGGTCTAATGGCAGACGAGCACTTTGCCCTCTTTTATCCGACCCTTGAGATCGCAAAATTTCATTCATGCCACACAAATATGTCGTCAAATTGCACGAGACAGACGCCCGTATTGAATAATATGTAATATGTGTGTATAAAAGTGGCAGGAATTCGTTGTTGGAATGTTCGAACTGTAGCAGCTGTCAACCCCAACAACCACCAACACTTTCTGCAATCTCTGACAGAGTTATATTCAGACCCATGCACTAACCGATCCGCAAGGATTAGTCTAATCACAACCGTCACTGTGACGGCCTGCTTTCGGGCCAGAATGGCCTCGACAAACATTAACACTATTCAAAATTTACACTTATTAACTGCTTCACGCCTCTACGCTTGTAAAGATGAAAATTTAATGAGTCAACACCTACCCACAACATCGACACTAATGATAAGTAAAAATACAATTAATGGACTGGTTCTGTAGATTTTATAATAATTGTATAGGTTTTCCGAAGTTTTTATTTGGAAAGACCTGACACCTTTGCAATGTCTATTTTTTGCTCATTTTATTAATTCTGTTTAAACACAATTTTTATGATTTTTTAAACTTTGAATTTATTATTTCGTAAAAGTAAGGCAAAATAAATAAGGAATTACGACGAATAACTGTGATTTGATTTTTTTTTCGAATTCCAACGAACTGCCGAATTAACTCTCTGTTAACCGAAAGCTAACTTCCCGAAGAGGGTTTAAAAAATTAGAAATTTAGTCGAGTTTCTCCACTTGTGTTAGGAGCGTAAATTTTCCGTTCTTAATTAAAAACTTTGTTCATTTGTGTCGCTTTTTTTCGATGGAAGTTGTAGGCGGTATCACTTAAAAGATTTGCGTGGGAACTATACGTAACTATCATTTGAGGGAATCAGTGGCGCAAATTTAATTTCCGAGAAGTATATATCAACAGCTATCCGCCGAGAGCTATTTTTGGTGTATTCCTTACTATAAATTTAATTATCGTAACCGAGTTAGTTAATTACGGCGTTTGCCTGCGGCAGAGGAAGACGGAAACCTCCAGATTGATTCTCCCTTCTCCAACCGTACAATCTGCTGGTATCAATTAACCAAACATAACGAAGCTCTCTATCTCTAATTGATTTATAATAAGCGATTTTATTGCTTCTCTATCACGCGCGACAATTCCAGCGATCGTTTCGAATTAATTGTTGTTTAGACTCAAACGACCTAATTGGACCAATTTACCAAACCATATGTCTGTCGTAAACGAATTCATTTCAAAAAATATTAGCATCAAAATGCATATATTTTGATTATATGATAATGAGTTTTGCATAGGTAAAGTATTTAACAAAACTATTCACGTAGTTGGCTGAATAAAAATCGTCGAAGTACATCCGTGAAGTTTGATCGAATTATCGGAAAACGGAACGAATACTCGTCCGAAAGCTTCTTCTTTTTGCAAGTTGCCGGATGCAGGAGCTTTTTTCCTCCAACTCGCATCATTTCAATCTCCTTTTGTGAATATTTTATCTGCTAAGATTTCATTGTTCTAAGTTGTTTGTATTTCTGTAGTTGAATGAACATCACTCGGTTTGCTCGCTGCATTTCCTTTACGATTCGAAAGAAGAACGGTAAAGAACGAAAATTACATTTTTTGTACTTTTTCCACTCTCTTTTCAATTGTAGCAAGTTGTAATAATTTGATGGACCTGCATCTGACGTGTTATACTTCTAAAATTGCAAAACGGTCCAAAGTGAGTTATTTCATGCATGTGGTGTGAAGTGCGCTCCGAAATGGGACAAAGAAAACGGGATGAGCTGTCCCAAGTCATTGTGCCGAGGCTGAGGCCTCTTCACGGTAATTGCCCGGAACGTTGTCTTCTTTGTGCCAACGATTGCCTGAATACTCGATTCAACCTATGCAATAAAGATTCAATAGACACTGCTAAGTGTCCCATTTAAACTGCTACTTCCCAGCGAAATTGACACACTAATCTCTATTGGGAACTTTAATTTGACCAGCAAGAGGCAAAACGACGAGACAAGACAGAGCAGAGGTATTTGCATTTGTATGACGCGTCGGATACCAAGACTAGATACCAGTGGCGGGACTATGAAGGGGGCTATAGACAACTTCCCCCCTCCTGGAAATCCACTCGCTTATTTAAAAGTTGACTTGATTTTGAATCTTAGCGCGGAAGTACTAACTTGATTGGCATTAGCCAACATTCATACAAACGTTACAGTAGGTGTTGAAAAAGTGATAAATCTTTTTTGCATCATAAAGCCGCGTCGACTTGAAACTTATATCAAAAAATAATAAGCTTTAAAAATGCCATAACCACCTATAATTTTAATTTGAAAAAATATAAGTTCATCTTATTAGCTAAAAAAGTAACTGAAAAACTTACTACGATGTTAAATTGTACACAAAAAGTGCTTGTATAAAGTGTTTATTTCTAATTTGAAAACCTGCTCTATTTGTACATCCAAAATGCACCTCCTTGTAAGTACATATTCAATAAAACTATTTATTTATTTTGTATTTTTCTGTTTTCTAGTGTATTGTTAGACCACCCAACCACTGTCCTCTTACAGTGTTTTCTAGATCTGCCACTGCTAAGTATAGTCTAGAAAAATGTAAATAATGTTGTTAATTAAACCAAATCTTGAATTTTCTGTAAACCAATCGTGTTTTTCCCACACAATATTTTTCCCATATTGACAAATGACTATTGATCTGAATGGGTAATCACCTTTGTCCCAATCATCAATGACCGTTATGTAGCAGCGCTCCATTTTCCTCGCCACAACTTCTTTTTTGCCAGTAACTCGATTATCACTCGCCCCTATTTTGCAACTAATGAGAACGCAGATTCGTTATATTCCAACGAGCGATTATGTCAGATGATCAGTCAGCAGGAAAATAGCTTCGTTTGTACTTAATCGAATTGTCACGAGCGCAGATTTTGCATTAAAGATATGTCTGTTTTTCAGCGATCGTCTCATCGGTGGACGCCGTGCTGGGTAGGAGTGCCACATTACCATGTGACATTGACCCAGGAATCAGGGAAGATCGGGTATACATGGTGCTATGGTACAGAGACACCCACACTAAACCCATCTACAGGTGAGCCTTTGGTTTAGTTTATCGAAAATTAGCCAAAGTTTTAGAGCGCACACTTCACTCGTAAAAGTTGTAATAGTTTTCAGTTTCAATAAAGTTACGAGCTATCGTAATTGAGACTTATGGAACGTTAGCCGGTTTAAGTTAGGAGCTGGCTTGTGCACTTAATTCAGCACAGCTAGAATTTCTATAACTAATTTAGCTGAGACGTCTGGTTGTATAAAGTCAGAGTTTTGCTTCGTTCAATGCCATTATTCAATGACTTCGGGTCTAATTACTGAAATCTATGATTTGCATTCCAATCAGCAATTTCACTATAATAACAATAAATCTAAACAATTCGTCTCGTTTATTTCGAAAGTGGACACGATTTCACTTTAACACTCTACATAATAAAACGGAGCCTTGCATAATTTATCAGACCCCAAAGTGCTCCCTTGATTACAAAAACAAACACACTGAGGCGTCTTGCAAATGCTTAACCTTAAAAGTTTATAAAAAATTTATTTCCTGACACGTTTCAATGAGAGTCCATATATTACAAACTCCCAACCTCTTATAAATAAATAAGGCATTTATTCAGTCCGAATTTAATGAGAGATCGTCTAAATCCGAGAGGCGAAAGAAAAGTCGCCTTCAATTTTCTTCGTCGCGCTGGAGGGATACACAGATTGCAGTTATTTCAGTCGTCTAAACTTTATAATTACTTCTGTTATTATCAGTTCTTCCCGCGCTGCATTTTGCTTTTATTTATTTATCTCATCAGAGAAATTATGCCGCCTTAATGCAATCATCTTCTCGAGACATTTATGTTTTCCCGATTCACAGCACGATATTCGTTAATGCTATTCCAGGATTTCTACGAGACATTGAACAGAGAAAATTGATTTTCAGAAAAATGAAACAGAACTTCTACGATCTGCCAATGTTTTAACGTCTACAAGAATATGTTTCTTATTTCGGTATAATATAACACATACAGAGATTCAAAAGTCTCGGACCATCTCTTATCCAAATGAGTTCAAATTTCCTATGACAATAAACTGTTTGAGCTTTTTTTCACAAAATATAGCTCTTTAAAGGTTAGATCTTGGGGTTAAGTTTTTAGCTGTTTTGATCATATATTCTTGAATTAGCGGAAACGGCAGATATTGCAACAACAAAGATTACCAATTTGCGCATTATGGTTTCAAAACATTTAATAAACTTCAACAATAAATTAAATTCAACAACATCGGAAACAAAAGAGCTAAGGTTGACACATGATAATATGAAAATTGTCAATTCCGTCTTTTCTCAGAAAAAAAAGCTTGAAAAAAGTTTGCATTCATTTTTATGCTTAGCCGAAAGTTTTCTATTTGAGAGTTGGTCCGACACTTTTAAATTACTCTGTATATTTAATCGAGTATCTCGTGCTAGTTATTGTTTTGTAAAATCATTGCTATATTGAAACAATATAGATCTTTGAGGAGCACAGGCCAACATTTTTTCACACTATAATTTCTGCATTACACTACAGCACAATTTTCAGGTCTGGTGATGGGCCATTTAACAAACATTTATTATAGCGGTTTGTTTTTCTAGTATATTATAAACAAAGTTTTTATTAATATATTGGTGAAAATATATTGTTTAGTAATAGGTATTTGTACTTCAAAATGATTCATTTTATTTACACTTACTTCCTCGAAAATGTTTTATAAGTATACAATAACTTTATTGCTTAAATCAAACATAAATTTTCATTATGTTTGATTTAGCACAACTGTAGCTTTAGTAACGTAAAATGCTTAGGGTTATAATTAGATGCTTGTTAAACTATAGACTGTTATGCAAGCATTCAATATGATTTGAATGTTCTAGCCTCTCTCTAAACCCCTGCCCCAAAAACCAATCACCGCTACTTCCAAAATAACTTGCACAACAATTAAGTGATACAATTTTTATTTTCTGCAATTGATGCATGTCATTTTTTTCATGGAATTAAGCTGTCACTAAAAAATAGAGCTCAAATATTAGCATAAAATAAAAAAGTTCACGTCACGTCAGATGTAAGCGCCTTTTTTGTTTTTGTTGCACATGAGCTTTGTCTGGTAACATTGTAAATAATATATAAAGAAATAGAGGCAAATTCATAAACAGGAATTAAGTACTTAATTCAGATTAATTTGTTAAAGCTTAAAGTCGCAACAAATCTTCTTAATTAGTAGTTAATTTTGTTTACACTAAAAAACCGTAATACCTTGGACAGAAAATAAGTTTAGAATTTAAATTTTTACTGTTGACAGGATTACTTCGTCCTTATTACATTTTATAGAAGACGGTAGAAAAGTTTCATAAGATTGTTTCCAATAGTGCACGAATAAGCTCAGTTCGTGCTTTTTAAAATAAAATTGGATAAGTTCGTGGAATTTATCGAGACGTGTTTTTTTTAGCACAATTATAAATAACGTAGCAAGTGTAAAATTTAATTAAACAGACGAAAAGACAGTGTTACACATAACCTTTATTGTGGATTGTAAAATTACAAAATGAGGTTTTTAATGTTCACATGCGAATTTCTGAATGTAGAAGCAAAATTGGAAAATGAATAAAACGAGGGAGAACCAGCATTTTTATCAGCGATTTACCTCTCCGCACACAATAATCTAAATATTTGTTTTTTGCGATCGTGGAGAAAGTCAAGCAGGATGACCATCGAAGATGAGCGGCAGAGACGATTTGTTTTATAATGTTCATCGCCTGCCGGCAACTTCTGTACATATTTGTCTAAGTCGATACGCTTTTCCTTGTTTAATCCGCGCAAATCCACTTAAACAACCAACGGGGTTGTCGGGGATGAAGACGGCAGACATGAATGTAACGTCAGATTGTGATTTAAGCCGCTTGATCTATCACTTCGGAGAGAAACCCGGCCCGGGACGCGTTCTATTGATTCCTAAGACTTAATTTTTCCGAATGAGACTGAATTTGCACGCGTGAGCGTGTCCATAAACAGCCCGGCAATTTTATCAAAACTTAACAAAAATACTCAAGTCTTTATTTCGCAGCTCAGAGCTCCACTGAGAGTAATTACCTATCTTGATTTAAGCAAGGAAGAATGTTTCAGCATTTACAACTCACTCTCAGGGTATTGCAACAATAAACAATGAAAAATACCCACCATCAACTTGCGGCTAAATTGTGTAACCGCACACACCTTGAATAACAGCTTTAATTTATTAAAGCTCCAAATCAGCAAACAGCGCAACTTTTATAACTTGAAACTCGGAAATATCGAGTTAACTTGTACACATCGAATGATGCATCCCAGCCGGCCCAAACTTCATTAAAATTAATTAATCCGGTCACATGAAAACTCTTTGAGTTTACGAAATGGCGAATTTTTCGATTGGATTCTTCGCACGTAGTTTTCACTGACAATGTTTAATACGTGTGTCTATAAATTGGTAATCTTGTCGTTTGGATTAGTACAGTTTCGTTCTTTTATAAGTTTTGGGTTTTATTAAGCGAACGCGAAGGTTGTCGGAACTTTTCGAAAAGGTTTTCTTATTTTATAGTGTATTTACTGCAATTTTACAGCTGATTAAATGGCTTTTGGTCGCATTCTGCTATTTAAACCGGTCTGTTTAACCCACATTACCTTTTTTTTAATTACCTTATCTGCAATAAAGGCTTTATGTTGGGTGATAATGAACGATTTGTCAGGTTGATGTCGGTAATTCGATATACAATCTCATCCTACTGATTTGTTGTGAAAGAGCTGAAATGCCTCACCGGGACTGAAGTAACTTAGCCCCAAAATAACTAATTGAAAAGGTCTCTATTTTAAATTAAAATCTATAATGAAGCTTTCGCATGAAATAAGTACAATCTGAGATAAATTTTATTGATTTTAGTTGTTAATACATCAAGGTTCTTCTAACAATCTAACTTTTAATAGGCATAAGATCTCAAGTTTCACAAGAAGAGATTTTCTTAGTTTAACGAAACAATTGTTGTGATCTTGCTGGCACAAATCATTTTGAATTTGTAGTACTTTTCTGACTTAAAATGTAAATAAAAGGAAAAAAATAGTTTTAACAACAGCTCATAAAAACCTAGAACCCAAATGTCAAAAGACATTCTAAACATAAATGAAAATTTGCTTCAAAATTGGTCGGTTTCTATAAAATCGACAATTAAACTATTTGAAATATCTTCGAACAAAAGAAAAATTGATTTAAAGTTTTGATACACTCTTTAATTCTGCTTTCAGCATTACGATATGTTATTTCTTTCATATTTGAAATATTAGATAAATCATAACGTAAATAATAACCAGACAAATTTTACAAAAATCCTAAACATTTTTTGCTAAACATTAATTAAATTCTAAAAAATTAAATGCCAATAAATGTGAAACAGAGTAGGTATTGTATGTACAAGTAACAATAATAAAAACTAAAATTGTCACTTTAATTGTTGTTTTTTACATCGAAATGTTTTTTTTTTTACATACAGAATGAGATTTGAATTCCACTGAATAATTTGAATATAACCGATTTTTGTAAAAAAATCCTGAAACAGGTCGATTCTTATTTTTTCTTGCCCATCATTTGACACATATGGTTTTTATTCATCTGAAATGGAGAGCCACCTATAACTTTTTTCCCATGTAATGGTATGATAAGTGACACCTCATTTGAAAGCCCACGTCACAAGCAATACAACGCACTATTTGTTTTCTAAATATTTTCAAAGTCTACGTAATAGAAAAATAAGAACAAATTCTTAACTTGAATACTATTTAATGCAATAAATGTTTAAAAGAGGCACCGTTTTTTTTCGGGCAAATTGCAAATCAAAAGTAACATGCATTATCTTTGGCAACATTTCGGGTGATTTGTCTAACTTAATTCCTAAACCGTTTCTTAAGGTCCTCAATGTTATTCGATTTTGTTGCAAATCACACTGGAAATGTTGCAAAACGAGAGGAATACATGTTACTGTCGTTTTGCAGT